CATCCCTTTTTTCATCTACTAAACACCCCAGCCCTCCTTTCATGTCAGAATATCTTATGCTCTTCTCCCAGCCAGGCAGGAGGGAAGAAAGGAGGGCTTCCTTTCCACCCACCCCCAAAGGCAAGAAGGGCAGAGGGAGGGAGGAGATGGTGAGAAAATATGGGGGGGTGGCGGTCTCTCTCATTCCCCCCTTGTTTCCCCTCCCTGGCGCGCCTTTGCCTTTGAAGGAGGGTGACAGTCAGGGAAATATGTCACGCTCTGATCTTGGCGCTCGCTCGTCTGCCTTTGATGGCAAACCTGTTTTGGTTCAGGGAATAAAGCCCTCGCTCTCGCTCTTTCTTTGTGTGTGTGTGTGTGTGTGTGTGAGAGAGAGAGAGAGAGAGAGAAATCCATCAGTTTGTCTGGTAGCAAAGAGACCAGGCGGCCGATCCAAGCAGATTGCAAGGTGATTGGCTGCAGAGAGGTCTGGGGTGCTTAAAGGACCCTAAAGATGGCCAGAGATGACCCCCTCCCCTCCTAGGGGACGCCAGAGTTCCCTACCAAAAGGCTGGGCCTGCAGGTTCCTCCCCCTTAAGGTCTCCACCACTGGCGGCGGGGGGGGGGAGCAGCTTCTGTTTCTCCACCTTGCAGCTGTTGATCCCAAATGGTGCAGGGGGAGGATTCGCTTGCCTGCACTTGCCCCCACACGAGGAAGGGTCTGGTTTCTGATCTACTGCCACGCGCAACCCCCCCTCGCTCCAAAAGGCACTGTGGGGGGGGGGAACAGCCCCTGCTTCCTCCAGGCTTTCATGTGAAACGTGAGGGCAGAACATAAGCTTGGTGGGGAGGAGAAGATCCCGAGGGGTGCAAGACTAAAATAACCCAGCCGTGGTCCTTGGCCACCAGGGCCACTTCTTGGCTGAGCAGATTATTTGGGGGGCAGGGTTAGTCCTTCCCTGCCCCCCCCCGCCACCGTCACTTCTCTTCCTGCCGGCTCCCATATCCAGGAGGTGCAGAGCGAGGTGTACTAGATCGTTCTGTTCACACGGCAACGGAGGGCGGGAGGGGGACCTTTTCAGTGCGGGTAACGCTTGAAAGGGAGAGGGAGGCGGTTGCCAGGAGACGGCTGCCCACGCCAGGCTGCGTGGCATCGCAGACAATGCCAGCACATGGCTGAGGGCAAGGGTGGGTGTGGGGGGGGCGAATGATGCAGAATTGCCTTGCGGCTCTCGCCACCCCCCATGGCGGCAACAGGCACGCACGCCCGTGGCCTGGAGGCTCTGGGGAGAAGCTAGCAGGCTGGGAAGGCTGCGGAAAAGGATGCCCAGGGCGCCAGCGGTTCTCCCGGAAGGCCAGAGATGTTGGTTCCTGCCCCCACCCCACAAACAGTAGCACCGAAGGTCCAGGCACAAAAGCAAGGACCCCCCCTTCCTGAGAAGGAGAGGGTGGTGGCGTGGCAGACAGTCTGCTCCACCCAGAGCCCCCCCCCGGTGGGGGTCTCCTCCCCCCCCAGGCGGCCAGGTGCGGCGAGAGGTTTTATTTCTTTGTTTGTTTGTTTGTTTTGTTTTGTTTTATTTTATTTATATCCCGCCTATCTGGTCAGGTCAGGACCACTCTAGGTAGCTAACAACATAGAGTAATACAATAAATACGTACCTCCCCATGGAGAGCCCCCATTCTGCGCCCTTCCTCTCCTCCGCCGCCGGCACGCTTTCCTTGGAGGTGCCCCATTAATTCCCCTGCAGCTACGTGGTTCTCTCTGCAGGGATTTTGCCCCCACCCACCCCAAAGGGAGGCGTAGACGAGGTCAGGTTCTCTTAGCCCAGGCGACCTTGCAAAAGGGGGGGGGGCTGTGAGGGCCTTGCATCCGTAGGTGCTTGGAAGATACCTGCCGGCCCTG